CACATTCTAAGACATACATCATACTCTGAAAAACAAAGTTAAATCAGAGTCCCTGTCTTCAAATGGACTGTCTAGTCTCCTGGAAATGCCTCAACTGGGAAACAGGAACATATCATAGTTACTTGTAAACTAGAAGAACAGATGGGAACCTGGGTACTAGGCCAGTAAGAATGTGGAAACCCACTTTAGATAAAGTCTGTCAGGAAAGCCTCCAAAGTGGTTGGGCACACCATGGGTGACTAGCCACCCAAGCTGTGGTAGGAAAATTAACAGAATGAAGCGTGAAAACAGAGAAGTGTGCAAGGGGAAATGCTGGTAAACTGTTGGAGAGATGTTTCTTTGCAGATGACCTGGTTGTGGGGGCAGGTACAAGGTACAACAGGGGTGGGGGGACGGAGAGAAAGAGATCAATTAACCTTTCCTAAAACCTAAAGCTTAGGGGGTTAGACTTGATCTCAGAGCCAATATTCCTGAAAGTACTTCTGGTCAACTGCTTCCCACAGTTGGTCTTAGAAGCTGTTACCGAAGACAGGGGTTCCAATAAAAGGGCTGTTATAGCAGCAAGCCAGGGGGAGTGGAAACTTCAACATGAAGAAGCCAACTGGTAACAGACACACTAAGAGAGGACACCCAAGAGAAGTCAAAAACAGTAGTCCATCAGACCTTGCTGAATAGCAATTTGATGAAATCCCAATGGCTACTGGTCCTGCTTAGAAAAACAGCTTCCCCAGAGTGTGAGCACTGTGGTCCCTCTCCTCTTCCCTGAGCCTCCCATTCTGTCCTCTTCCATCCATCCCTCCATCCCCTAAACTCTCACCTGCCCTCCTCCCTCTCGGCCTTCTTTCCTAGGCAATTATACACTTGTGAATTAGGAAATGTGCCAGACTGAAAATGCTTCTGGATTAACAGTATGGTTCCTGCCCCCCTTGGATTATAATGATTATTTCAGAATATGAAGATTTGGTCTGATAGTGTCTCATTTGTAAACTTATATTGATACATTTATTCAATAATATTACTTTCCTACATGTTTCCATTATCTCCTGGTGAAGAGAATAAGGAAGTAAAGGCAAGACTAAATTTATGAAATAATAAATGGATTTGCATAAACATTTGACATGTGTAGGATTCTCTATTCCCTTTTTCATGCCCATTTTGTCTCACTGAGGCTCTCCAGCACACAGGGCCAATTGGATGCTCTGCTGAGCCCCAGACAGAGAGTAAGCATACAGTATTGAAGTCATTTTTTTTTTAATTCCCTGTTTTCATGAGGTCTGACCTGAAATTATATTTCTGAGTATCATAAACTCTTACAAAAAAATGGCTTGTTTTCTTTTCTAATTCATTCTTAATGTTTTGTTAACGATGACTTTATCCTTCAGGAGAGTAAATCACAAAAATGGTCTTTAAGCAAAAAAAAAAAAAGTTACAAAATTACAATCTGACTGTAAAAACAACCTCCTATGGGTCTGCTTGAAACGAATTATATTCTGAAGTGTAAAGTCACTGGTTAGATTAAATGAAATCGTCTTCACTTATCATTACTATAAAGGAAAAATGACAGGAATTCTTTAAGACGAGAACCAAGTAAACATGAGCTATTTGGAGCATGATGAAGAGAAAGGATTCAGTCCATGGGAAGTTACACGATTCATGCACTGTTCATGAATTCAAAAGACACAGGGAAGTACAGAACAACAGTCAACAACAGAGAGACTGGAGATGCTTTCTCGGACAATCTCGCAAAGGTGTTGCTCATTTTATAACTCTAGTTTTATTCCTGTATCAATCAGGTCTGGAAGCACCTTGGAATTGTATGCAATGTCCAGCCTTTCTAAGTCAGTCGACTCAGCGGGCAGTGGGAGGACTGGGGAGCAGGGACAGCACTGTTAGACTCAGAGGGCGGAGGGAGGACTGGGGAGCAGGGACAGCACTGTTAGACTCAGAGGGCACTGGGAGGACTGGGGAGCAGGGACAGCACTGTTAGACTCAGAGGGCGGAGGGAGGACTGGGGAGCGGGGACAGCACTGTTAGACTCAGAGGGCACTGGGAGGACTGGGGAGCAGGGACAGCACTGTTAGACTCAGAGGACAGAGGGAGGACTGGGGAGCAGGGACAGCACTGTTAGACACAGAGGACAGAGGGAGTACTGGGGAGCAGGGACAGAACCCTTAGACTCAGGGCAGTGGGAGGGCAGTGGGAGGGCTGGGGAAGGAGGCACTCGGCCTGTAGCTTAAGTGATCTCCTGACAGAACAGTTTTACACCATAGCAGCCTCTTGATGTCTGTGGCTACGCAGCGAGACCCAAGGCGTCTGAAATTCATAATTCACTGTACTGTGTGGTGTCAGCAAAGTAAACATGACTCTTAAACTATGGGCAGGGCTGTCATTTCTTGGGAGCCTCCTAAGAAAGCATTTATAACAAAGCAGAATTTTCAGCTTTCAAAATGAATTTCAGTGAACAACCTGTTCTATACATTTCCAGAAGCTGTGAGAGAAACATTATTTTGAAAGTCACCATGTGTGCCCTGGGTTCTCAGTGTTAATACAGGAGCTGCAAATGCTGGCATTCTTCCGGAATGTGCCTCTCTGCTTTGCAGCACTCATACATAATCCATGAGTATACTCTCCGCTTCGGTAGCTCACATTAGTAGGTGAGGATGAAACTACTAATCCCTCACTGGAAAATGGATATAGAAATGTTCATACTACTGGAATAAAATGGTACTTTCTCCTTTCATTTCAAAAGTCCATTTTAATATAGGAAGTGAAAATGGGATTTAATATTTATTTGAAGCCAAACCAGGGAGGTGGCACACATCTATGATCCTGGCCTATGGAAGGCAGCCTAAGGAGGACCTGAAGTTTCAGGCGAGTCTAAACTACATGGTAAGACCCTTCTCAAACAGCAAACAAAATGTATTTTTTGGAACCAAAATGTTGTATGACTGCTAAAATTACTGCTCTATGTAAGTATATTCTAGTCATGGTAGAAGCTCCCTAAACATTTCATGATAAAGGAAAAGACAAAGATTTAACCAATGCTACAATCACCCGTCTGAGAGCACGGAGTAGCTCAAAGCATAGCCCACACTTTACATGTCTAACTTCACAATTTATGTAACAGACAGATACATCTACCCAGTTTTTAAAAACTCATCAGTGTAGAAGCCAGCCATCAGTCTTCCTTTCTATTGGGCAGTATGTTTCTGACATCAAGAGCATCTGAAAACGCTCTTTTTAAAGGAAATCTTATGAAGTCACCAAAGAAGCCATTTGCCCTGTTGTTCACTTCTGAGGGATGCTCCACAAAGTTTTTAAAATTTTATATAAATTTATATAAATTATGATGAATTCATACATTCGATCCCGAACATTACCCTGCTCATGGTCATTTGTATCTGAGTAAGATGTGTTTATGAAAACATCACCCCCTGGTCTTCACTTGGCAGCTCTGTGATGACACTTGTAACATGGCTTCTGTTTAAACATAATGGGCTTTTGTGTCCAATGCACAGAAAGGGGAGCTGGGTGAAACAGGGAGTTTCCTGCACCTCATTCTCAAAAATCTTTTCTAAGTTTAACATACACCTCCTCTAGGAAGAAGTCTACAGTTGTTTTTATTTTGTTTTGTTTTTTTTCCTCTTTGAGAGCCCACCACCTAGCTCCCAAATAAATATACAGAGATTTATTCTTACTTATGAATGCCCAGCGTTAGCTTGGCTTGTTTCTAGCCAGCTTTCTAACTTAAATTATCTCGTTTCTCTTTAACTATGTTTTGCCTCTGGGCTTTTTACCTTTCTTTATTCTATATATCTTTCTTTCTTCTTACTCCGTGGCTGGCTGTGTGGCTGTGTGGTTGACCACTGGAGTCTTCCTCTCCTTCTTCTTTTATAGCTCTTCCCCCCTTTTCCCTAGATTCCTCCTCCTATTTATTCTGTCTGCCAGCCCTGCCTTTTTCTCTCTCCTGCCTAGCTATTGGACGTTCAGCTCTCTATTAGACCAATCAGGAGTTTTAGGCAGGCAAAGCAACACAGCTTCACAGAGTTAAATAAATGCAATATAAAAGAATGCAATACAACTTTGCATCATTAAACAAATATTCTACAGCACAAAATGTAACACATCTTAAATTAATATTCCACAACAGAAGTCCCTCTTTTTTTTGCATGTATATGGGGTGTGTGTGTGTGTGTGTGTGTGTGTGTGTGTGTGTCCACATGTGTGTGCATGTTTGTATCTACTGATGCATGTGTGTGTATTCATACACGAAGAAGCCTGAGGTCAACACTGTATGTCTTTCTAAGTCACTCTCTACCTTATATGTGAGGCAGGGTCTCTCACATTACCCCAGGCTCAACAACTCAGTTAGTCTAGCCTGCCTGCTTGCTTCAGGAATCCTAGCTCCATGTTCAGCATGCTGGTGTTACAGATGGACTGACATGCCCATCAACAGTTATGTGGATACTGGGAATTCAGACTGTGATTTCCTGCCAACAAGGCAAACACTTGCCCCTGTGCTAACTCCACACTCCCTTTTATGCTTTTTAAAGTAAATATTCCCCTGTACCTTTTATATATATGCTAGATGAGTATTAAATGATAAGAAATTATACACATGAATTGTTTTATATATCTCTGCTTCTCAGAGCTAACTGACTCAGTAAGTTCTTTCAGAATACATAATTCTGTCTAATCTGACATTCACTCTAACAACAAACATTATATGTTCCATTTAAACACATTTATTGACTACAACAGGAACAATTACCATTCTAAACATCTATCAAGGTTTGGGGGACATAGCTCAGTGGTAAAACACTTCAGTAGCATGTACAAGTTCCTGGATCAAATCCTCAGCATTAAAGGGAAAAAAAAATCAAACCTTATCAAAAATACTAAATACTATCTATATATACTCAAGACAAAAAAATGACAACATAGAAAACTAGGTCATTCTAGAAAGATAGACCCATACTACAAATGTAATTTCTACTTACTTGTCTCCAAAAAACTTCCTCCAGAATTCAGCAGCATCTGCTTTTGTGATCCGGAAGTTATCTCCCTGGAACTGGCCATTGGGAAAGATTGCTTTAATTTCTGCCAGCATGTGACTGAAGATAAGGGACAATTTTGTGAGATTCCGTCTGTACAAGGGAAAAAATAAAGAGAGGTAAATACATGCATGCAACCTTTATTGGGAATCTATATTAAACCAAGTAAATTCTGTATATATCAAGCTGAATCTTAGTAGACAGTCATGCATGCACCTAAAAATAGGTTGATCTCAACCTGAGAACCCATCTAAAACAATGTTCTCTGCACACTTACATTTCTAACAGGTTTTATTTCATCCTTTATCCATGTACTTATTTAACGGAAACATGAGCAAGAAAAATTACGTAATTTCACTCATTACACTCACAGTTTAAAGAGAAAAATAAACTCATGGAAAGCATAATCAAATATAAGTGCTAAACACAAATGACAGGGTGCTATTTCCACCTGGAAATGTCAGGGGAAATTTGGCATTAGAGGGGAGACCAAGGAGATATGTAATTGCACCGCATACAAAATGTCCCGAGGTAGAGAGGAGGCTAGGGAGGAGAGGAGAGGGCACTGAAAGCAGCAGGGGCAAAGGTTTTCAGAGTATGGATATCACTCTGGGTCACTGGAGCACAGGAGAGGGAAAGAAGAAGTGACAGGAGGAGAGGACATTTATTTGTGCTTGACATGAAGAGAGAGCCAAATCAATGAGCCAAAGTTTCTGAGTTCACTGGCCTCTTGCACCTACAAATGAGCTGTCCTTTGGAAGGATTGGAAACAAACATTTCCAGACTTTCCTGGGCCATTCTAGCATGTTTCCCTCATGACAACGACTCTATGGGAAGGGAGCCAACGTGGGTTGAATGACATGTCTCAAAAGGACACAGTGATAACAGGAGGAGAAAGGATGGGAAGACAGAGAGTAAATGCAGGGATTCTCCATCCTAACTCCCATGCTTTGGGGGATTCCAATGTCATTTCAAATGTGTTCCATAGGGCAAAATAGCACTATCCCTACATTCGCTCTTATTTCTTAAGTCTATGACATAAATTCCATTGAACGGCCCTGGACTGCCACTGCTGGATAGCGGAGAAGCAACTGAAACACAAAATGCTAAGAAAACTTATTTGAAACTAAGCTTTAAATGGACTTTACATTGTTTTTAATTCATAATCACCAGCCAGAATGCAACCAACCAACCCCCCCACCACACACACAAACGTAAAACTTCTATTTTTGAGGCTTAAACCATTTTGTGTTCATATGTGTGTTGGAGGTTGGGGTAGGGCAACTGCCTCAAGAAAAAACACATGAAATATAGAGAACCACTCAACTTGCAATATGTAAAACCTTGCATTTCAGCAATATCTTTGTCACTAAAAACCATGCTTCTCTCTCTGCCCATTTTTTCTACTGAAGGTGTCTGTACTTACTGACAACAGGAAAACAAACACACACCAAACAACAACAAACAACATGCTTCGAAGAGATAGTGTAATAGGAGTACTTTGCTTCCTAAAACACTTTTAAAGATACATGAGATGAACAGAGAAAAAAGTGCAGATACTCAATAAATGAGAGAGTAAAAACAAAGAGGAAACAATAGAGTGTAAATTGTGCTGTTATAATACCTTTATCTTCAAGCAAAGTGTCAAATAGTCTCACAACATACGTCATCTATGAAATTTCATTTCTAAGGAGTCAGAAGTTAGCAATCTGCAGATTCACTATCCCTGTCCACAACTCTTCATTTTCTGAAATACATCCGCACTGGTGCTCAACACAACCTGATTCAAGCGCGAATCTGGGACTCAGCTGAATCTTTAAGATTGACCTGGCTGCCTTATGCCTGCCCATCCATCCAGATTAAAATGACAGCGGGTGTTAAGACATGCATTCTAGGAGATGAAAAGCAAACTGTTCTGCTCAATAAGAGCAACAAAGTGTGCTCAACCTCAGCTGTAAAAGACCTTCAAGATCTATGCTTAGAGAAAACATAAAGTCACTTTAGAAAACCTGCAATGAATTAGGTCCTATTATTAGGTGAGAGGGTTAGTTTTCCACCAAACTTCCAATTGACACATAAGAAAGAAAAAAGAAAGATGAATATGGTTATAATTAAGATAAACCAACTGTTCCTTATTTTCTAAAATGCTTGCCTCCATCCCCTTGTGTCTTTGTTCTTTAATCATATCCAAATGTTTCCAATTCCTCCTTGCTAGGTATAAGTCTGGAGCATAAAGTCAGTGATGACTAGTCTTGGATATTTGAGCCACATGAGATGAAAGAGGGCCGAGTGAATTAACGTGTTCATTGGTTACTTAAGACACTCAACTTTCAAACAGAAACATCAACATTTTATGATTTATAATCCAGAGGCGCTAACAATCACTAGTACATACATAAATAACCACTCCTTATTCCTTTATGTGTATAGTTCCATTCTTTTCAAAACCTGCAAATGGTCACTAAATTTCATCAGACTTGTTTTACATGACCTGAGATAATGAAAAAAATGTATTTACCTGTCTTTTGTTTTTTGGAGCTTTTTTGTTTTGTTTTTGTTTGTTTGTTTTTCAAGACAGGGTTTGTCTGTGTAGTTTTGGTGCCTGTCCTGGATCTCGCTCTGTAGACCAGGCTGGCCTCGAACTCACAGAGATCCATCTGGCTCTGCCTCCCAAGTGTTGGGATTAAAGGCGTGTGCCACCGTTACCCAGTGACCTGCCTGTATTTTTTTAAAGAAACTCCAACTCATGTTGTTAAAAGTATTTGGAGTCATTAGTGTCATGTTATCTTAATTTTCATATAGTCCAGAATCTAGAATTTTATTACATTTATACACATACACACACACACACACACACACACACACACACCCCACAAATATGTAAATGACCATTCTGGGAACTCACTGCCAAAAACACTGATTTGTGAAGGTTATAATTCAAAAAGTTTAATTAAATCTTCTATCTATTACCATTTAAATTTGTTGTCATAATAATCAGGCTATGACATTCCTGTATTTTTCTATGCAGTATAGGCTTTATGTAATTCCCCACCATACTCTGTATTATAGACACCCAGCTTTTAACAACACCCTACCTTTAAATAACATATAAAATTACACTTATTTCTAAGCATCTAAATACAGGGGAAGAAAGCATCACTGAGCATGTTCTCTGAGGCTGAGATATTTGCTCCTATCATACAATCATTCAATTCCATAGTGAGACAGCTTTTCCTAAAGTGACCTGACTTGCTACCATAAGATCAGAAATGATGACTAACGAACAGAAGGTTTCTTGATTACTAATTACTAGTCAACTAAAACTCTCCTGTCTCACCACAACTTAAAAAAAAAATCTGTTCACAAAGACTTTAACAATGTTACAAATATAATTGTAACTTCATTTACAAGGAATTTTGTATTATGAATTCTTTCATTTACAAGAAAAAGTTCTCAATACTATTTACCCTCCATTAACCATCACAACTTGAGCCATTTTTCATTTGTTTAGTGGGGAGCTTTGTTTATAAAAGATTGTTTCAGAGTAAAGGTATTTTGAAATACCAGCCAATCAGAAAGTAGATATAAGTACTGAACAGAACTGCTGAAGATGTCCACATTGCAGGAGACTGAAAAGGAGGGAAGGAGAGGGAACTTAAACAAGAAAACAGGAGAAGAAAAGTAAAGGCAGCTTTACCGCTGTTTGAAAACTGCGCAATGCATCCCTAATGTCAAGGCCACCACCTAAGCTGCAGGACACCTCTCTGTCCTAGGTTCAGTCTCTAAGACTGCATCCTCTTTCAACGGTGAGAATCAAACTCTCTGGACCTCAAGCAAGGATGTGGAATGTGTGATAAAAACATACAGCTGAATCAGAATGAATAAATGACTTCAACTGATGGCATTTCACTGTTTATGAGTGAGACCAAGTAGTTTAGATGGCTCAAGCCAACATCATAGAGGACAAAGAATAAATATAGTTTGATATCGAGACCCATAAGGCTACTATTAGTGAACTTCGGCACAAAAAGACACAAAGAGAACATTACCGTATCACATATCAGGGGTGATGGTACACCTTAATCATGGCCATTATGACTTGATGAATTAATGTGGAAAATGGATTAATAACATCAATTTTTCATTGGCGGCACCCACTAAACATGAGAGATGCACAAAGCATATAATCTAGTGAGATTGCACATTGCTGGTTTGTTCTATCGGAGAAATAGCTGTCATAAATCAAGGAGGAAATAAAAGCCCTGAATTAGTCAAAAACTTTAAAAGACATTTAATTAGTGACTCTAAACTTCATAAGAATATGCTGCTTTGGGGAGAAGAAATGGAGGTTCACACTTTATCAAAAACTATTAATAATTCAGTCCTCACATTTAAAAGCTGGAGCATATGTTTCTAAGTCTTGACAAGGTGAAACAAAGCTACCATAAACCCAAAGCAGCACTTAAAGCATGTAAACAGAGGCAGTTAAAAGGAAACTCAGGTCCAGTTAAGGAGCAATTTCTACTGCATTTGCAACAGAGTGCCTCCAAGACAGGCTTAGAGGTGCTCCACACTCTTGTTGACCTTGGGTACCCTCATTCCTAAGGGAGCAGGGAGACTTGGCTGATGTCAGCGCTGCCTTTCACTTCTCCCTCCCGAGAACAGTCTATTATTAAGAAGATGCCTGCCAGTCTTAAATCAAACTGATTATCACTCACTCCCTCTGTCCAAATACTAAAAGCTGTCAAGACCTCTAAGGGGATCGACAAAGATTCTTCTTTTTTAAGTCCACTACCAGGGTAGATGTGAAGCTTGGTTCTAGTCACAACATTGGAAGAAAAAAAGCAGAAGAGCCCACTACTCAAGAATTAGTGTTTACTTCAAGCCACAAAACAAGTGAGGAGTGTGCCCAGAAACAACTTAGACGGGAACAAAGGCTTTCGGACCCTCTTTAACCTGCCTACATCAACAGCTTCCTGGAAACTGATCTGATGGTTAATGTGGGAAGCAGAAGAGAACCAGCAAGAGGGGAAGAGGACACAGAGAGGGGGAATAAAAACAAAGTGTAATGGGGAGTAGGAAAATGCCACAAT